TCATCTATGAATCCATTTTGTAGGCAATTTCTCTTCACAGAAACCTTTTTTTAAATTCTCTACAGTTCTGACACTTTATTTGCTCAAGCTATAAAATTTTTATTTGGATTCCATGCCATTTCAATAACTCAAAGCTGCCTTCTCTCTCCCTCATGTTAAATAGCAAAATCATGTAGAATACTTTTCCTACACTAAGTGATTGAATATCATTCCTATTTAATTTCTCAGAAGTAAGCACCATTGATGTTTTTAACCCTTTGATTGAAAGTCCAAAATCTTCTTTCTAAATGAGATACAATCACTGGAGTCCTGGATTTCACTATCAGGTAGTTTCTGTTTAATCTTGGGGACTCTCTAAAAGAGGTAGCCAGGTTATTTTCTCTCCAGGAATTTAATTTGATGGCTACACATTAAAAGTGTTACCTGATTCAATCTGGAGGCCATTGAGGATGGACCCCTCCCTCATGGTTAGCTTTTTACCCCAACTGCCATTTAAAGCTAGAAGGGTAAATACTATAACTGCATTTCTTAGGATTTAAAACACCACATAAAATCACAGAGACACCAAGGCTTTGTTGAGATCCATTAAAGGAAAGCCACTTCCTCTAGGTCAAAAGAACAGAACCTTCACTGTACCTCTGTTCCTGGGTAGAGACATGACTTCTCATCTCCCCTCAAACTGTCTCCTCCTTTAAACTAATCCAGCAGTACCTGTCAATCACCTGGCCAGGAGACCACTCCAAGGGAAATCTGATTCACCCGAAGACATGCTAAAATGATAGGAGGAATAATTATTCCCTGGATGAGATAATGTGCTTACACTTCCCAGAAACCTCTACTCTAATGAGCCACTACAGACCTTCTGCCATATAACACTGCTAAGGTTACCCACTTGTCTGAGTTCTAATTAAAACAAGTGTAACTTTTTCTTTTCCTTCTTTTTTATCTCCTTTTCATTGGATATTGGCCAAAAGCCTAACTACGCTTTCTTTGACACTCTGGGTTTCCTTCCCCTTTATTCTTAGTCCCCCCACCTTCCAACCATGCAGCTGAGTACCAATTTCCGTTGCTGAGCAAGCTGGCTTTCTTGGACCTAATTTGAAATGGCATGACTTTGCTCTGTCTCTTCTCCATGTCCCTCCTCTCAGCAGCTACTGAAAGTTACAGCTTGCCTGCCCTGTTATTTTCCCTTCAAACTCCAATTAAAATTGTTCTTAAGGTTCCTTCTGAAGCTTCTATTTCTAAATTCTTTTATTAATGAGACTAAGAACCCAGAAGAGAGCCAAGATTCCCTTGGTAACATGAGGATTTGTTATAAAAATGTACTACACAGTGGCTGAACAGACAAAAACTATATAATACTTTATGGGCACTATGGCCACTATGTCCCAACCAATATGTTTTCACATGTTTACCGTATCTCACTTCAAAAGATTTTCTGAACTTGGCCTGGTGGTGCACACCTTTAATCCTAGCACTTGGGAGACTGAAGGGGGTAGATACTCACTGGGTTTTCGGCAAGTCTTGGCTCCAGAGTACATTCCAGGTCAGTCAGGGCTAGAGAGAGGTCCTGTCTCATAAAAACAGTCTGTGCCCATAAAATATTTATATAAATATCTAGTTTAAATAACTTGTTATGAGAACAAGTTATACAGGAAAACCATGACTGAATTAACATACACTTCCTACGTAATGGGGATCCACTCTTTCTCCTAGGGCTCAACCAATTCTCTCTCTCTCTCTCTCTCTCTCTCTCTCTCTC